AAAACTGCAACATATCAAGATGCAAACTGAAATCATATTGCAATAATAATAATACTATATGCATGCAGTGCTGGGTAAATTACTTACAAATTGTAGTCCATTACTGATTACAGATTACATGATGGTAATGGAGTTAGTAACGTAATCTAATCTAAGTTACTCATTTTAGGTAATGTATTCTGACTACTTTTAGACAACTTTTTTTTTTTACCCAACTTGTTTTAACTTACCAATAAATGCACCACACTGAAGAAAATATATTTCATTCTTTGATATCAACATCATAAAATGCATTAAGCGTTTCAAAGCTAAACGGTGTGACACACAGTAAGATTTTTAGAAAGGAAATTTTAAAAGAAAATTCTTTAGAATTAGGGAAAATCAATAAATTATGCATGAATTGCCGCCATTGTGTGAAGAACATGTAATCATGCAATCCATAAAAAAGCAACTGAGCATTTTAAAATGCAATATCATCTAATTATGAGTACTTCGTTTTTGGAATGTATCCAGATTACATGTAACCCAGCACTGTATATATGGAATTAAAAAATGAATTATACAGTAATTTACCTATATTAATACTCCAAGTTTCTGTAATAAAAATATATTTTCCATATTAGTAACATTAACAACAATGGTTGCCACATATAATTATCATTCTAGACAGTGCATAATGACCTGAAGATGTTTGTTTGTGGTGTTTTGCTGCTAATTTCTATTTCTCTATGATGGTATTTTAATCAAATAAGATGAAAGGGCTGTTTTAGGCTTTAGGCTTCCTCCAGATCTCTCCGTCTGAGACTGCAGGCCTCGCTCGTGACGGAGCTGAGTTGAGTATATTTGGATCCTCGTGCTGTGTTTTGTCTTGTTGAGACCCGCAGACCCGTCCTCAGCAGGACCATCTGAGGGTCTGACGTCTGTTTGTCTGTTTTTAGCCACTCTGGAGGAGAACCTGGCTGGGTTTTCCCAGTGCAGTCTGTCCTGGTCCTCCCAAATTAATCAGATTTACTGCGCCGGCCATATGTCGAGACAGCGTGAACCTGCCCACCCTGATCCCAGATCAGCCTCCTCTGAACACGAGAAACCCTCTCAGCTCAGCACAGAACAAATGCTGAGGGATTCAGTTATTCAGATGCTGTCGGTTCTTCACTGGGTTTCATGAATAAAGGTTCTTCAGAGGTTCTTGTTTATGATTCTTCATAGATTTAAAGTTAATCGCTCATTTTGACACGTGCGATCATGCATTTCCTTATTAAATCATGTCTAAACGCAGTCCAGACATCTAAAAACTTTTGCTTTTTTTTTTTGGGATGAAATCTTGGATTTCTGTTAAAGGAGTAGTTCAGCCAAAAATGAAAAAATGAAAGTGTGCTCACAGGTCATCCGAGATCAGGATGAGTTTGTTTCTTCATCAGATTTGGAGAAATGTAGCATTGCATCAGTGTCTCAGCAATGGATGCTCTGCAGTGAATGGGTGCCGTCAGAATGAGAGTCCAAACAGCTGATAAAAACATCACAATAATCCACAAGTAATCCACAGCACTCCAGTCCATCAGTTAACATCTGGAGAAGACAAAAGCTGAGACAAATCCAGCATTAAGACGTTTTTAACTAAAATAACATAGAGTCCATAATCCATAATAACGCTTCCTCCAGTGAAAAAGTGCATCTCCTGTTGTCTCTCACATCAAAATCCAGCCACATATTTGTTTAGAGCTGTTTAAACGCTGCTTGATCTGTGCAGATTTCTCTCCTGATTCAGACCAGAACACTTTTTCACTGGAGGAAGTTTTATTATGGAGTATTTTATTCTGACGGCACCCATTCACTGCAGAGGATCCACTGGTGAATCATATTGTAAATGTGGCTTCATGCTGATCTTCGACTCTTAATCCAGTCACATCTGTCTGTTTATTTGACTCTCCTCAGGCGTTTAGGCCAATAACGACTGCGCTGCACTTCTAAGACGTCGCTAAACGTGTCAAACGCATTTAATGAGGTGCAACTGTGAGTCCTGAGGGGAAATACTTCGGTAAGTCATCACCTCGCAAGGCCTCTGTCTATTACACCTGCCTTTGTGTCCAAATATTTACCTGAAACATGATGCGGGGAAGTCGAACAGGTAATGAAGATTTAGAGCTCACCTGAGACTAAACAAAAGCATCTTCTGTTAGCTTTCATCAATATAAGTTGGTTTTATTTGGATGTTTCTCTCAAGGGCTGTGCTCAGAATAGAACACCAGCGCACTGCATACTGCACAGTGTTCACTGGACACGGTCTGCTGTTAATTTTAATAGTATTCTGCAATAACTGATGTTTCAGACAGTAGTATGATGCATTTTTGTCACTTTTTGACCTCAACGTGATGCATGAGTGTCATGCATTAAATACAGACATTTTGCATTTTTAATCTAATTTTGTCTGCAAATGTTTTACCGTTTTCAGTGTGATTAAATAATTGCATTGTGGGATATTCAATGCAGTGTGTTCTGTTGCATTTTGGCAACAGATACAAAATATGCATGCTATATACTTTAAAAATATGAGTGTGCTATTCAGAACTTAAGCAAGTCTTTCCCTTCTGGAGCGTCTGGTGCATTTACATTTAGACAGATGCTTTTATCCAGAAGTCAGTTCATGCATTCCTTAGGAATCGAACCCATGACCATTTGAAAGTTGAATGTCATTCAAAGCAAAAATGGAAACCCCGGCCATATGTCGAGACAGCGTGAACCTGCCCACCCTGATCCCAGATCAGCCTCCTCTGAACACGAGAAACCCTCTCAGCTCAGCACAGAACAAATGCTGAGGGATTCAGTTATTCAGATGCTGTCGGTTCTTCACTGGGTTTCATGAATAAAGGTTCTTCAGAGGTTCTTGTTTATGATTCTTCATAGATTTAAAGTTAATCGCTCATTTTGACACGTGCGATCATGCATTTCCTTATTAAATCATGTCTAAACGCAGTCCAGACATCTAAAAACTTTTGCTTTTTTTTTTTGGGATGAAATCTTGGATTTCTGTTAAAGGAGTAGTTCAGCCAAAAATGAAAAAATGAAAGTGTGCTCACAGGTCATCCGAGATCAGGATGAGTTTGTTTCTTCATCAGATTTGGAGAAATGTAGCATTGCATCAGTGTCTCAGCAATGGATGCTCTGCAGTGAATGGGTGCCGTCAGAATGAGAGTCCAAACAGCTGATAAAAACATCACAATAATCCACAAGTAATCCACAGCACTCCAGTCCATCAGTTAACATCTGGAGAAGACAAAAGCTGAGACAAATCCAGCATTAAGACGTTTTTAACTAAAATAACATAGAGTCCATAATCCATAATAACGCTTCCTCCAGTGAAAAAGTGCATCTCCTGTTGTCTCTCACATCAAAATCCAGCCACATATTTGTTTAGAGCTGTTTAAACGCTGCTTGATCTGTGCAGATTTCTCTCCTGATTCAGACCAGAACACTTTTTCACTGGAGGAAGTGTTATTATGGAGTATTTTATTCTGACGGCACCCATTCACTGCAGAGGATCCACTGGTGAATCATATTGTAAATGTGGCTTCATGCTGATCTTCGACTCTTAATCCAGTCACATCTGTCTGTTTATTTGACTCTCCTCAGGCGTTTAGGCCAATAACGACTGCGCTGCACTTCTAAGACGTCGCTAAACGTGTCAAACGCATTTAATGAGGTGCAACTGTGAGTCCTGAGGGGAAATACTTCGGTAAGTCATCACCTCGCAAGGCCTCTGTCTATTACACCTGCCTTTGTGTCCAAATATTTACCTGAAACATGATGCGGGGAAGTCGAACAGGTAATGAAGATTTAGAGCTCACCTGAGACTAAACAAAAGCATCTTCTGTTAGCTTTCATCAATATAAGTTGGTTTTATTTGGATGTTTCTCTCAAGGGCTGTGCTCAGAATAGAACACCAGCGCACTGCATACTGCACAGTGTTCACTGGACACGGTCTGCTGTTAATTTTAATAGTATTCTGCAATAACTGATGTTTCAGACAGTAGTATGATGCATTTTTGTCACTTTTTGACCTCAACGTGATGCATGAGTGTCATGCATTAAATACAGACATTTTGCATTTTTAATCTAATTTTGTCTGCAAATGTTTTACCGTTTTCAGTGTGATTAAATAATTGCATTGTGGGATATTCAATGCAGTGTGTTCTGTTGCATTTTGGCAACAGATACAAAATATGCATGCTATATACTTTAAAAATATGAGTGTGCTATTCAGAACTTAAGCAAGTCTTTCCCTTCTGGAGCGTCTGGTGCATTTACATTTAGACAGATGCTTTTATCCAGAAGTCAGTTCATGCATTCCTTAGGAATCGAACCCATGACCATTTGAAAGTTGAATGTCATTCAAAGCAAAAATGGAAAACACCACAAGGAACGCTTCCCATGTCACTGATTTATGATTCTGTCATGCTTTATTGGTGTTCTGTGTCAGTCAGGCTCATTGAGTTGTGATTTATGAATTAGTGCTTAAGAGCAGCTAAAAATCTAATTAACTATTCTAGGAAGTTTTCTTGATGTGTTAGAACGTTGTTTAAAGGTTACAAAAACGTTTCTTACAACATTTTTTTTTCTCACTCAGAATAAAGCATTATTTGAACATTTAATATTCTAAGAACATTAAAGTGTCTAGCTTTCTTGTTGTTATAAGAACGTTTTTAAAGGTTCCTTAAAGGTCGACTAATTTTATTTTTACCCCAAACTTTTTTATAACATTTTCCTTCTCCATTAAGAGAACGTTCAAGTACAAATAACATCATGAGGACGTTCTGAGAACATTGTTACAATGTTACAATGTTATGTTACAATGTTACAATGAATGTTACAATAAAGCTCCGTAAACTTAAAAAAAAAATTCTAAGATAATAGATGATAGATGGAGATAATATCAGAATGAATGGTGCACGCCAGGTTCAGATGAAATCAACAATATCCAAACAAACACGAGATTCATGCAATGCAATTTATTTGGAATCAGTGACGCTGAAATAGCATCACGTGACTGTGGTGTTTACATTGTGCTGGACAATGAGCTTCACACACTTGAAACCCAATAAAAAGGTTCCTGACGCGGTGCTGGAGAACATAAGAAACGCGCGGTGGAGATATTAGGAATATCGAGCAAACGCGCGTCTCTGTGCCAGCTGACGCGAGCGCGGTCTATAATGACGCGTCCTCATCATATGGCTCATCATAACGTATCATAAGCGCCGTGAGGGGCTCCATGTTTGAGCTCCACTGCTGCTGGAGTCATGAGAGGCTCTGTGGACCTTCCTCCTGCCTCACTGTCTCATCGCAAACTCTTGTGCACCCTCTGGTGCTTGCTAGACTCCAAAACTTCTTTGTGTTGCCTGCTTAGCAGATTGTCTTCCTTGTCTCTGAGGCTGCTCATTATTCGGAGACAGCCGGAGCTCAGGTCATCTGCAGCTGCCGTTCTGAAGAAGAAGAAGGAGAAGGAGGAGACGCGAGAGGGAAGATGGCGAACATCCTGCAGCTCTAGACCGGGAACTAGTTCGCAGAAGATCCAGGATCCAGCCGTGAGTATTCGGTTTCACAATCGTCCTCATCTCGCCTCGCTCGTGACGCTCCATGATAACGCGCTCGAGCTCGGGATCCGTGGAGAGGCGCTTTGGGAATGACCTGGAAAAGCGCTTTTCATGCTTCCCAGACCCGAGAGGAGCCCGAACCGAGCGGATCCTCCAAGAAAAAGAAAAAAAAACCGGGCCCCTCGGAGCTCGTCAAGTGACGCGTTGCTGGAGCGTGTTTTCCTCCACTGGAAGGAGCGTCGCGGGATCGGCGCGCCGGCGGTGAGCGCATTCGAGGGACGGAATGCGAAATGTTCCGCCGCGCTGGAAGCCATTGCGCGGATTCGGAGCTCCGCGTCTATTAGTCGGACGCGACGCGTGACGCGACCGGAGCCTTTCAATGTGGCGGCGTGAAAATAGCGTTGTTGTTGTTTTGCGCGACGGGCTCCAGGTGTTTGTCGCCGCAGGTGTAGAATGACACCGAGGGCTCCTCCAGACAAAAATGGAGTCTCGCTGGAATCTAGAGAACAAAGGTTGACTTTCTCCTGCTGCCTCTGGCCACTGCATGGAGCTGGACGCGCGTCTGGTGACACATTTCATGCTCGTTTGCACTCCCCCCCCCCCAACTTGAGTCTGCGTGAAGTTCCCCTGCGGTGTTTTTAATAACACGCATGCTTTGGGGTTTAGTGCTGCTGTTTTTGGACTACATTGTGCGCGCGCTGGTCTGTGATGTTCTACAGTGGCCTACAGAAGAAGATCTCAGTGCCTCAGATATAAAGTGTAGTTTAGTTCTAGTGCAGGTGGAGTATTGTGGATGTGCAAGCTGCTGGTGTTCTCTGAACTTCAAATGCTGAACTATTCTTCCCTTTATGCACCTGTGTGTCGTTTAGGAGCAGATCTGAAGCTTCTGCTTGGAAGTGAAAGTGAATATTCTTGCACTGGTCTGGCTGTAGTTGCATGTGTGTTTGTGACATGTTTAGTGTTGCACACCATCAAAGCTTTTTGGTGAAAGGCGGTTGTTTCTCCATTGGCTCTGTGTGTGTGTGTGTGTGTGCTTCTGTGATCGCTCTGGCCACTGTGAAATCCCGCTGACAAAGACAGCGCACTACACACACACACACACACACACACACACACACTCTCTCTCTCTCAATGCGACAGACGCAGGCCAGAGGAACTCAAAATGGTGGCACGTCTCCCATGTCAGGGCAAACAGGTTCTCTCACATGAAGGTTACTGGCTGTTTTTAAGGTCCTGCTGCTGTCTGCTGTTTCTAAGCAGCTTCTCTGAGGTTTATTGAAGTTGTGAGATCATTCTTTGTGCTGTTTTCACTGCTGATTGAATGCAACAAAAAGCATGGATTTGTGTGTGTGTGTTGTGTGTGTGATGCTTAGTTTGTCCTCATGCAAGTTCTTCCACCTCCAAATCATTCTTCGATGCGTTTTCTGCATGTGTGTAGTTTCACAGTATTGACTTTGATCTGGTCGAGCGTCTGACCTGGAAAAGCTAAAAGCCGTCTTATGCAACTGTTGAGCGCGCAGCGATGGCTCACGGTTCAAGCTCACTGCTGACCCACTTTTCATGAAGGTCCAGCCTGTTCAGCTCACTGGAGAAGCAGACTGTGGGTTCGTTTTCAGTGAAATAGTCCACGAGAGAGAACATTTACTGTCTGTCTGCTGAACAGTGACTGGTGTTGTTGTAGTATTTTTGGCCATAGATGCGCAGAAGTTTGGATTATACGTGTCAAATCTGTTTATTATGGCTCTCAGTGAAGCTCATTGCACGTCCTTTATTGTCTCTTTGTCATGTTGAGCACAGAAAACCAATGAATGGACACAAATGCATCATATATTTTTAATGATAAACCAATGAGGGTGAAGTTAACAGAATAAACAAGAGCTTGACAGCATTTTGAGACTGAAAAATTGCTTTTGAGATTTAATGCGTCCAGTGTTTAATGTCTATTCAGTTCCTCAATTAAAGAAGAAACATGGACTGTTAGTTATGATCTTGACTATTGATGGAGTGCTTTATTGCTTTACTAATGTTTATTAAGTCATTTAGACAAGCTAGTTTGCAGTAGCTGACTTTTTAGACGTTTCTCCAATCGCGCTGCAACTAACCGGTGATTATTTATTCTTAACTGATTTTCTTTTCTTCCAATGAGAAAAAGTTCCACAAACACATCATTCCCAGTCATCCAAACAATGTACAAATTAAAAACTGTGGAAACAAATCTAGTGAATGTATCTGTGTAAACTATGCTTTACATTATAAGCAACTTTATATTTAAATCTAAGCAATAAATTCCATAACTTTAACTAATCACGAATAACTTCAGATGAATCTTTCTAGTGCACACTTATAATATTTAAACGGAGTATAGTTTCAAAAACCCAAAGTTTATGCATTACTGTTATTTCAGCACACAAGTCGTGTTTACGACGAGTCGATGAGTTATTTTATTACTGACTGTTGTGTTGACTAGTCTTAAATAGGCTCGAGTAGTACTAGTTTTTGCCGTGATGTTGTGAAATTTCACTGGTGTATAAAATTGTTTAATCATGTTGGTTGTTGATTATTTTCATTCCTGATTTTATGGTTGCACGATTTGGGGGGAAATCGAATTGCGATGTATTTTCTGCATTTTTTTTGTGTGTGCGATTATAATTATGTGGCTATAAAATAACAATAATAAATTATGAGGATGATCATTGTTATTATTAGTGGTTATATTATTTTTTAAAAATTATATAAAATTTTATATATAAAAAAAATTATATATAAAAATTTTATTTTTCAAAATAATTAAAAAAAATAAAATATTACATTGTAAATGGATTTTTCAAGAAAAATAATTAATAATACTAAAACTACTAATAATTTTATATTACATTACAGCTCTAAAACTACAATACGTCTACTGCAACTAATATTAATGATTGTTTTAATTTCTTCTTTTCACTGAGTTTTTATATTAGTGGAAAACTGCTGGTTTTGTTGACAACAGTGTGATTTCAGTTAATGGTGCGGCTCTAATCGTTGATATGCTATATATCTGAAATGCGAGTCCGATAAAGCAGACGTATGAGGTTGATCTTACGGAGGTTTTCCAGGCCGCGGATGTTTGTGTGCACGGAGTAATGTGGTGATTTCATCTGAATAATTTTGCATGTCAAAGGCTGCTTGTGTTATTAATAAGGTGGGCGATGTGGAGAAGCGTTCTGCTTTCTTCAGGTCATTTTAATGACTCTCATTGCCTTTGTCCCTCCTAAAATCCACATTGAGGTCTTTGACTGATTGCAGGCTTTAGTCAGGAGTCGCACGTCATTCCAGTGCTTTCCTACAGCAGAAGATCACTGCGTTTCAGGTTGTTTTTAAGGACGCTGCTCGTTCCAGGCAGCTGAAGGGCTTCCATTTTGATGGTCGAGTGATCTGAGCTACAAAATGGACCGGACGAGGCCGCTGAAGGAGGCAGAAACTCACAGAAGCGCTGGACTTTAGAGCTGTTCCTCAGGCGGCCTGACACAGAGAGAGAAGCGAGACACACAAAAGCCAATTGAAATGGTCCAGTGGACGCTTTCTTGACGTGATGCATTGGTTTCTGGGGTCTCACACACACATTCACTCTTATCTAAAGAAGCCATAGGTTATATAACCTTCTGGTGGACAGTAGAAACAGAGTGACTGTGTGCTGTGTTTATTTACATAACCTGGTTTGGGTCATGATTAGTTGTGCTGCATGCTGTGTGTGTTTTAATTGAAATTCCAGTACACTGTAAAAAAATGACCGTGAATTTAACGGTAAAAAACTGTAAAAATGCTACAGTAAAAACCTGTTAAATGGTTAACGGTAAATTTCTCATCACCACCTGCATTTGGTGGTTATCAGTGTATTACAAAGGTACAAAACAGATTTCAGTACTTCAATAGGTTGGTATATTAACATTATATCAGTTAATGAAATTACGGTATTTAACTGTAAATTTAAGTTAAAACTGTAAAACCTAAAATGTTGCTACCGTATTTTTATGGTAAAATTCCGGCAACCACAGCTGCCGGTTTTCTTGACCGTAAATTTTACGGATTTTTTTTTACAGTGTAGTCTAACAGTTTAAAGCACAATATTTCAAACAAACACTTGTCTGATTATCTTCATGTCCATTAGTGCTGTGCAATATAATGGTGGTAAACCGTTATGAATTACGCACATGGTATCAATTTTTTAAAAACTGGCAAACCGGTACAAGTGGCTAAGCAACGTAGACAGCGTCGAAAGAAAATCCTAAACATTGAATTGATGGTGGGATTTATATGAATGGTTTAGATTTTAGATGGTTTATTTTCTTTTCATCTTGCCTCCATATAATGCATATTAATGTAGCATTTAAAAGGTAACCAAGGAAACGCAGTATCACTGCTGTTCCATAAGCGCCATCTGCTGTGAGAGAGTGAATCTGCGTCTCATTCAGAGCTTCTGCTGTTTAGGTTTCCTGCGGATATGTTTTATGTAGCATAATTTGTTAATAAAGTGTTGAAATTATACGATCTAATTCACATCAAAAACTGCTCACGCTGCATGCAGCATGTTAGTTTGAATCGTGATTAAAATGCAGTGGTTTCATGCATTCTGATTCATATAAAGCACAGTCGGGGAAAAAACGTGATAAACCGTGAAACCGTTAAAAATAAACGTTGATACAGATTTTTGATCAGACCGCCCTACACTAATCTCCATTATGAATTCACTGAATTATACATTAAATACATGATACAGTCGCACTAGAAACCTTGTGAACGCTTAAGAATTGTGGATATTTTAGGGCTGCATGATTTGGGGGAAAAATCAAATCGTGATATTTCTTATAAAATTGTCAATGCAATTTAAAACTTTTTTTTTATTTGTACATTATACGTTCTATTTTATGACTAAAATAATAATAATAAAATTATTATTATTACTGGTTATTACCAAATAAAAAAATATTAAACAAATTCAGTATTTAAAAAAA